TTGAAGCAGAAACTTAAGTGTACCAACCAATGTGTTTGAGATCCCTCCAGTATATAAATGTCGCACCGAAGGACACAACCCTAGACTACCAACAGTACCACACCGCTTGGCCAGATAAAACAGATTGAACCGGATTACTACGGGAATCTACAATCAGTGGCGTAGCCAGGAATTGGTCATGGGAGGGGTTCAAATATTTTTCCATATGTATAAAATCACACACACACACACACACTATATATATATATATATATATATATATATATATATATATATATATATATATATATATATATATATATATATATATATATATATATATATAGGGGTGTAAGTCCATGGGAAGGGTTATACCCCCCCTTGCCTACGCCACTGTCTACAATGGACGTCAACGCGCACGCTCGTTTCTAAATATAAACCCAACCCAGTCGATTCTACTCTATGTTACTCATGTTACTCTAAATATAAACCCAACCCAGTCGATTCTACTCTATGTTACTCATGTTATTCTAAATATAAACCCAACCCAGTCGATTCTACTCTATGTTACTCATGTTATTCTAAATATAAACCCAACCCAGTCGATTCTACTCTATGTTACTCATGTTACTCTAAATATAAACCCAACCCAGTCGATTCTACTCTATGTTACTCATACTATTCTAAACATGCAACCAATAAACCTGCACGTGCGGCAGATTTACTCCAGCGGTCACGTGGTTCCGGAAACAACAGGTACGTCGTCTTGAATCCCCCTGCACCAAAACATAGGGTCCTAGTTCATTCGAATCACCCGAAATAGAAACCAATGGGTTGTTCTAAATTAGAAAAATATTCAATCGTAATCAAATCAATTTCTTTGTATTGGGATAGTAAGGTGGTATTACGTTAAAAATTATCCGTACATAAACGGGAAAACTTACTAGTTAACTAGTACTAAGTATATATAAAGACAACACGCTACTTTACACGAGTCTACAGCAATGATCCTCAATCATTACCCACAAAACCCTACTAGAAAAGACATGACTTTAAAATTATAAAGCTTTTCTTAAACATAAAAAAACTATTGTCAAATAAGGCGACTTAATACATTTTAAAACTTGTCTACAAAGTTTACCAAAGCGAAGTGACTACTCGGAAAAGATGTTTCGTCCCAGCGTCTCTTAAACTATTAAGAGCCACGTGTGGCATGATACTGAATTAGTTACCATTGACAAATATTTAATCTATCCACAAATTGTATGGCCGAACTTTTGTGTATTTTTTTGTTAAATATATTCGTAAATTTAAAAAAAAAATTAAAAAATCATTTGATTTAGGGGTGTTGTTAATTGTAAAAATTTTAATTTGGCTTTTTAATTGACCGGAAATAATGGCTAATATTTACAAGAACCAAAACCCCCGAATTATCCTGACGTATTTCCCACAGCCACATTCAACTTTGGACGAACCCCGCTGTGTGTCCAAATATTCTAATTAACAAGCCTGAACCGCCGGACTTCCAGAACAAACTCTGACCACGATAGGTAAACTTCAGGTAGGACGTCACGCTGTGTATGACGACTAATTAAAACTGTCAATTAAGATCACCTTGACGGGAGAAAAAAAATGATTTGCTGTACAATAATCGGGAGGATGTGTGTCCAATTTGGGCCTCTCCTCTTCCGTTTAGTATTGCTCCATCTGCCTCTTGTTGACCCCCTTCTCTTCACACCCGGCGAAATGACCCCCCCCCCCCATTCAGTATCCCCTATGCGTGTGCCTTGCCAGCTGGTATAACAATGCCGAAACAAGGAGGGTGGATGTGGTCACGGTCCCTTCTATGGAATTTCAGACAGGGGGTGTTGGGGGTGGGGGCGGGGTGTCTTAGAAAGAAGCCGGAAGTCTTTATACACGAAAACAGCTCGAAAGGGAAAACATTTTTTTTGTGGTGTGTGTGTTGGTGTGTATACTTAAAATTGGGTCACGTAGGTTTGTATGTAAGCAACATTTAGCTGAACGGGGTAAATCGTGTAGGTGTGCCTATGCGTTGGGTTGTTGGTGATATGTTTGCCCTATGTGTAAAAGTACAATAGCAGTGTTAGAATCAAATTGTTATTGTTGTTTCAACACATTGGTTCAACAACAACAAAATATTGTAAAGACAGAGCGGCACAGAGTAAAGCCTTGAGTTTATTTATACACAAGGATATACAAGACGTGCCACACTATCTTTTACATAAACAGTTCAACGATATCCTGACAGAACACTAAACATCAAGAGGGTTGTTTCTGGCAGTATAGGCGGTTAGGATTAGAGCCGGGCTCAGATTACGTCTTGGATTTATAGCTGAGAACAGAGCTAGGGTTAAAGTAACAGCGCCAAAAAAAGAAGAAATATATGGCTTGCCGGTAATCTTAGAAATTACTAAAAACAATAATATATAATATATGGCTTACCGATAATCTTTGAAAATACAAAAAAAAATAATATATGGCTAAACGATAATCTTAGAAATTACTTTAAAAAAAAAATAATATACGGCGTTCAGTAGGCAAGACAAAAAAAAAAGTAGACTTTCCATCCTCCCCCCCCCTTCCACAAAGAATTACATTAAGCACAAAAAAAAAAGAACTGGTAAAATGGAAATAACAAATGCCCTCAAATCGTGATGGTATCGCCTGCAACACGTCTAAGAAGAAGGTTCTTTAGAAAGGCTAAACTGACCTATCAACACATCTTTCAGCATTCTAACCCGAAGGAAGAAATGTTATACCTCCCCCTCCCCATATTTTATCTGTTTATTTTAAAGGTGCTTCAGGGTTTTTTTTGTTTGTTTTTTTTTTTTGCTTTTTTTTTTTTGTTTAAAATTTACGATAACACTTAATTCTCACACGCCCTCTGACTAACTTTCAGTATAACAAAATATAATATTACAAGTTTACTAAAATATAAAACGGTACTTGTTATAATGGTGAAGCGGTTAAGATTATGTAGCTACTCGATATGTCCCAATATATCTGCTTACAGCGTCATTTCTGTCTAAGTCGTATAACCCTACCGCGACAGTGTGTAAGCAAACACAAAGATCTAAGAACAACGGCCTTTAAATGGCGACAGGGGGAGGTCAATGTCGTTATTGAGGCAGCTTTGAGATCCGTGTATGTAGGTAACAATAGACTGGTACGGTGAAAGAATGGGTTCTAAAGACAAAATATTATGGTGTGCTGGAGGGGGATTTAATGGGTTTGTATTTTTAAGGCATTCTTTTCTTTGAAGTGTGGTGTGTGCCTTTAAATTGCGCTGACGTCACATTGTGGAGTTGGGATAGATCTAGATCTAGATCTAGTAGAAAATCTATTTTACAGCTACACTCTAGATCTAGATTCTAGATCTACCTGAAGCTTCAAGTTCAAAGATTCTTAAGGGTAGATCTAGATCTAGATGTAGATCTAGATCTAGTCGAGTTATCGTTTTGTTATAAGGATAAGTTAAGAATCAGTGTATTGGAGAACGAGCAATAACAACCTGATCAGACTGATCCAAGTTTTCGCTGACATCATGAATATAGGGAGAGGGTTGGGGTAATTAATGACATCGAACTCAGCGGGAGAGGGTTTCAGACATTAGTGGCAGTGGGGAATAGATTTTTAAAAGGTTATTTTAAAACTTAAGTTTTGGCAGTTAATCTGTTACTCCACCAGTACAACAATCACAAGCTGGTAGACATAGAGTCTAGATCTAGATCTAGATCTATGTCTCTTCTAGATCTAGATCTAGAAATTCTAAGTCTTACACCCAGATCTAGAATCTAGTTTAGTATTCTTCACTATTCTACTACTCTTATTCTAGTTAGACGTGGTCCTGCAAAGTAGACAACGATAACCTGCTGCAAGCGTATTTTCTAGATCTAGAATCTACATAAAAATTCTAGATCTAGATCTAGATCTAAAAATCTAGATTATTCTAGCTGATCTAGACTGAAGATTAGAAGATCTAGACTAGTCTAGATTCTAGATCTAAAAATCTGGTAATCTATCGTTTTGGGTACGTAAAATCGCCCGCGACTAGTAATGTGAAAAACAGGTGACTCCTTAAATTTTAATAATTATTTCACATTTTGAGGAGGATTTATGTTTTTTAAAATACAAAAATGTTTCCTTGTTTCATTATGTACCCGTTTTTAAACAATTGCATTAAAACTTTTCCGTAATAAATGAAGGCTAACGATGTTTCCAACAGATGCAACCATGCTCATTTACTATAGCAGCCATCTTGTTTAAGTTTTATTTTTATAAGCTTATAGCGCAGATTCAGGGGGAAGCCACTCTATTTTACAAATGGCTGCTGTTTATATAGCAAATCTTGCTCTCAGACACTGCTGTTTAAAGTTAATTTCTGGCCTATATCGATATATTTAGCCATTGATTTAGGTTTATTATTCATTTATCTATAATATTTGACACAAATATATGACAATTAACTTCTATTAAAGCCTTGACAATGAGGTAACGTTTTCGTACATTAATAGCCGCGGGCGATTTTACGTACCCAAAACGATAGATTACCAAAAATCTAGATCTAGAGTCTAGATTCTAGATCCTAATTTTAGATTTAGTCTAGATCTAGATCTAGATCTGGCAAGAAAAGCTATTAGAGAATCTAATTAATCTAGATCTAGATCTAATAATTAATCTATAGATCTAGATCTAGATCTCTAGATCTAGATTCTCTATAGATTATAGAATAGATCTAGATCTAGAATCTAGATTCTAGATTTAGATTAGATCTAGATCTAGAATCTAGATGTCTAGAATTGGAATCTAGATTCTAGATCTAGATCCAGATCCAGAATCTCTCTAGATTCTAGATAGTTAGCGCGTAAAATGAATAGGCCTACTCAGGCAATAGGCCTAATTAAAATAATTATTGACATTAATTTAAAAACTAGGGCAAGTCCATCATGCTAAAAATAACAAATTATTAACATTAACACTAGTCACGTTGAACTGCATACATTACTCCATCCGTTAACACAACAATAACCACAGTTGTAATCCATGTCAAAGAAAACACATTGTTCAACAAAGTACTAGATCTAGATTCTAGATTTCTAGATCTAGATTTTTTTTTAGAATTTATCCATTGTCAAAATATATCCACATAACATCTGTCATTTTGAAATATTTGCACAGTTCAAGCCCGCCTTGTTTAGTGTGCGCGAGCTAGGCTATCCAAAAGTTGTCCTGATTTCGGTTTTACCCCCCTATGCTTATCACGTTTTGGGAGAATCCATAGGCCGTACCAAATACCCCAGGCTAGTCCACTTTTGAAAACATCGACGTTGAGTGGCCGCCAATACAATGTGTCAACGCGGGAGGAAGAGTTTAAGCGGGTGGGTGGGGGTAGGACTAGTTTTTTTTTTTTTAAATAGTCCCACTACTGTAAAATATTGAACACGGCGCTTTTAAAAAAAGAGAAAAAAAATCCCCTTTTATCTAGGCTGTTCCTCCCCTCACCCTTCCCTTCACGCTCTAGTAGTTTCCCACTATGTCTGCTATTTTCTGTCAGCGTTTCCCACGTGTGTATGTTTGACCCCGTTCAGTCAAAAATTGAAACCCCCCTGTACGTGGAAGGGCCTTCCCATTCATTCAAACACATCGACGCGGCTTATTTATAGTGGACTAGTCCGCCGAGGGGTTACAAGTTTGAAACGGACTTGCGGTTAACGTAAGTCGCCATCCCCTTCCCTTTCCCTTCCGTTGGTTCTTTCCTATTTCATTGTGTACAACCAAAACAATAGCGGTCTATGTGGCAGCATTTTTTAAATTCCTGAGGTCTGCAGGAATGGCGTTGTTGAATTCAAATTACTGAATTTGGTTGGGTGTTTTTTTTTTTAAATAGAACAGATAGGTCAAATGGGGTCATATCAAAGGTAAACAAGAAAGTGAGGTAGAAGGAAATATTGCATCATATACGCAATTATTCTCAAATCTAGAAGTATAGTGAACTGAAAATGCACCTCCAAAAAAAATTGTGTTTGATAGAATATTTATTTTGGCAATGGGCACAAGATTGTACCGCTTACAGTCTGACCTGGGACAGGTGGAGGTAGAGTAGGGAGGGGGGGCTGACGACACTGTCTGGTGCAACGCTGAAACTAAATTGATAAAAACAACAGACTACCTCTACTCCATTTCAGTGTTTCTGTCAGGCATTTCTCCGGATGGGGGGGGGGGGGGGGGGGGGCAATGCTGGAGCACGTCCACCGCCCCCATCACACATACACACACACACACACCAAAACCAACTTTCTCATGTATGAACATTAGAAATAGACCTTCATGTCAAGATACAAATGAATCCATCTTTATGATTTGCGCCAATCTATCGGTCGTGTATTACCCGGTGTTTCTTTCAGGTATCGCCCCATGGAGGCGGTGCTCCAGGATCATGTCCACTATCACCCCCCCCCCCCCCCGTTAATGATATAAAAAAGCATACATTATATTAAAGAAAATGTATACTTTAACCAGTGCCCCCCCCCCCCCTCTTTTTTTTTACCCACAAATTTTAAGTTCGCCCCTCTGGGAAAAAATGTCTAAAAGAAGCCGCATTTACACCGTATGGGAACTTAAGATGTCATATCCTCCTCCGCCAGCTAGATCTATGTGATGTACTGAAACAATAGGCGAGGTGGTATCAACTTCTCTCCAGAGGCGTAGCGACCCTTCCCGGCGCCTGGGGACAAACTTTCGATATGCACACCCCCCCTCAAGCTTTCAATTTATTTTTCCAACCCATTTTGGCGCCCCCTAAGGTCGGCGCCCGGGGACATATGTCCCCCCCCGCCCCCCCCCCCCCTCGCTACGCCTCTGCTTCTCTCTCCCCCTCTCCCCGATCGTGTCACTAATAAAGTCAATTAATTTAATTAGTAATTAAACTAACTTGAAATAGCAGACTTCTAATTGCAATTAGGTATTTATTTTTGGTGTCACTCCCCCTATGGGTGGTGTCCCCCCCCCTTGGGAGGGTTGAAGTATACTTATACTTATAGGTGACACTACCAACTATACAAAATAGTCACACAAAATAAAGTCCTATCTAAACCGAAAATGAACATTAAAATCCGACAGGTAGTGAAAACAAGAACAGCACAAAAAAAGCAAAGAAAAACAAACAGGTAAAATACAGGTGGAACACGAGCCGCCAGAATTCTCCGAGATGAGTCATCCATTGTTTCATGGACCTTGAACTTCTAGACTACTTTATCAATCTTGACAGCCGAAAAATACCCCCCCCCCCCCCAGTCACTCAGATAACACCCAAATGTTATTATCAAACAGGCAATGTTAGCTAGGCCAATATAAGCTGTAGACAGGCGGTGTCTTTTGTTTTTGTCCGCCATGAAACTTGATCATTGCATTCCGTGATAACTCTGTTTACAATGCGGTGACACCTTTTGGTTGTTTCCCAGAATTATTTTACGCATAAACCTCTAAGGAATGTCTGGCAGAAAATTACCCACGGGTCTCAGTGATTATCTTGTGGAAAAAAATACGACAATTCTTCTCAACTGCATTGTAGGTCTAAATCTTTGGAAGGGGGTGGGGGGGGGGGGGAACTACAAGCCCATCTAAGTTTTTGTGCTAAATTATTTCTAATGCATATAAATCTAATCTGCATTTTAATATTTGTTGGTCTGCGAGCTTAAAATAAAATAAAATAAAAATACAATAAAAATACTCCTGCACGACAGTCTTACATTTTCCACTGGTGCGCAAAAATGGTACGACCCATATAAACAAAAATATACGCTACATTTTCACTCGCAATACAACAGAAGCACATAGACAAGTGGAGTTCTAGGGGTGGTTACCAGGGAATTAGTGAAAGGAATCATGGGTGACCCATGCATCGAGATCCATCTCAACGCCTCTGCTGGTATAGTCCTAAGGAAGGTGACCGGAAAGATGCAGCAACGGAAAACAGCACGCAAAAAAAGTGCGCAAGGACATTTTTGTTTTCTTAAATTGAGCATTTATAGACATTAACAAAGTGCTACTACATGTACATTGTAGCATAATAAAACATATTTCTACGAAATATGACATAATTCAAATGTATTATCATTATTCGTTTGTATAATGCGCATTTTTCAGTTTTCCGATTGCTTATTTTTCTTGTAATCCCAAATGAACGCTAAGCAACACGCTTTGATACCAACGTTTGGTGTAGGAGCTGCTGAAAGGAAACCAGAGTTTGGAATCCTGTCCCCTTATGGGGCTCCACTCCTGTTTGATTTGAAGTTTTCTGTCCTTGATAAGTTGCTGTCCCTAGCTAACGAGGGTTGGAAGGTGAATTCCGGGCTAGCAACCATAAGCTCTTCCACCCAACCACGCCACTCCCAAACAAAAATAACGATTTGTTTCGGATATGTTGTTTAACAATGACACGGTCTAATTTTTAAAACAATTTTTTGAGACCTACTTACTTTTGTGATTATATTTTAATGGGGAAAGTATGAAGGGGGGGGGGGGGGAGAGAAGAGTTTCGCTTTTATAAATCTCGCTTCATTTTATCTTAAGTGTCAAAATATAATTTTAAAATGTACGTACCATCCTAATATATAAATCCTCACGTTCGCACATCTCTCTCTCTCTCTCTCTGTCTGTCCGCAAAATATTTTCGCCGGACATCACGTCAGAATCGGCAGCGATATATGAAGAACTTTTTACGGACTTTTGTTGAAAATAATATGTGAGATGTTTTAAATGTATAACCACAATTTTAGTTAAAGAAGAAAAATAAAAATTAAAGGCGTATTCGAATGTAGAGAAACAGTATTATTTATGCAACCGGAAAAGCATTAATATATGTGAAAAAGAACGCATAAAACTGTGACGTCACTATTGCTTATACATTAACTAATGACGTCATATGCCGTGTTCAGAATGAAAAGAAATGAACTATTTCATTCAAATTTGATTTAGATCTACGTACACTATGAAATGTATACAATACAATTTTTCCGGCCTAAACTCATAAAATTTATTTTATGTATTTGGATTCTAGATCTAGAGATTCTAGATCTAGACTAAATCTAAATCTAAATCTACGCAATAACTAGATCTAGACGTAGACGCTAAGATCTAGATTTAGACTCTAACTTCTCTAAAATCAATAAATTTCTATATTAGGACTAAAACTATTTCAAGACTTATTTTATTTTATACAAAATCTTTGTTTGGAACTGGCTAATTTGGGATAAAAAATTAATTTGAAAGAATAGGCATATTCGCGTAAGTTAAGATTTTAAAATACGTGTTTCATTCTCCGTATTTTATCAGGTGCTTAAATAGCGGAGATGTTAGTGTACATTAAACCACGCAGGTGGTGCGGGTTCGAGACAACAGCAAGTCAACTTGGTTAATGTATTTTTTTTTTTTATTATGCTCGGGCTAAACTTTAAAAAAAAATTCTTTTAGGAATCTAGATCTAGATTTAGATTGTCGGGTGTCCGATAGGGCACTTCCCGGCGCCGCAGGCGCTTCAAATTTGGCATGATCTTGCCTTGGTGCGACAGAACACGGGGGGCCGGTTGGCCGAAAAGTCTACGATGTGGGGGTCAAAAACTGACCTCGACTGACCGGTACCTTATATGAGCTATAAATCGAAAAAAAAATGTCCACGGAGGAAACACCTCTTCATAACTCTTGAGGTCGTAGACCGACCTTCGGGCGAATTAATTAAGCATTCAAATTCTCAATGTTTTCGAAAGCCTAAGCGAAGCTGGGCAGCATGCCTAGTTGTTAAGAAAGTGTGTCGCCACACTCTTCCATGATTAAATAGTTTCATTTTAAACATATATTATGAGGTTAGAAACAGCTTGTAGTAACTAGTCTAAATCTAGACTTTTATGTAGACTTTTTAGCACACCAATATATCAACAATT